CTCCATACACTTTCACTAGAATCATATGGATAATTTCAGCCCTGGAACTGCCACTATGTATTGAACAAAAGGTGAAAGGAGGGAACTGCTTCAAGACATCACAAAATGGAGCAGAGCATTTTGAGAGTTGGAGATGTAAACCATTGTTTCTGGGTCGTGACCCTCAGGTGGGCCGCAAAAGATTTTTTTTGGGTCGCCTTGTCACGATCTGCATGTAGATCTGAAATACCATATTTTCCGGGCTATTAGACGCGCTCTTAAGCCTCCAACTCCATCAAAAAACAATCCAGAGCGCCCTATACACGAATCCACTCGGGTGTCCCAGCACGACTTCAGTAAACTACAAAGCTGCACCACCCGCACCACACGGAGCAGACAGCGACTGCGCAGCGAAACACACCCACAGCCACACTCATCACTCCACACGAACGAGGAATGGAACGGAGGAACGGACAAAAAAAGCAAGTCCAATGTGCCACTCTGAGTCACAACTGAACAACTGAGTCACTGCGAACACGCCAACAATCCAGTTGGTCCCAGACAGCACCCTCCCTACACGCCACAACTGAACAAAGCCCAGAGTCACCGTGAACGTGACAAAGTCCCACTGACCCATCCAACTGTTGTGTTTCATTTAAAATCTATTGCAGTTTATTTGTGAAAAAAGTTTGAAACTAGACCATTTAATGAGAGTGTGCCTTATAATCCAGAGCACCTAATAGCCCGGAAAATACGGTATACAGTTCTGCCTAATCTGCTGCTGCGCTCTCCTCCTGCACCCAGACCGGAATGAGCTACAAAAACACAGACAGGCCCACCTATCTCATTAGTAACGTTGACATGTTTTGTATCATTTCTAATCCTTTTGTAATTATTTTATTGACTATTTTCTTCCAATATTGCTGGTTCAATTGAATGCTGAAAAGAAAACGTGTCCAAATAGGCGACTTATGGATCCTTTTATTGCTGCTTCAATGACTGTTTTTCATTCATATTAATATTATTTTAACCAGTGAGTGACTTGGGTTTTTTGCATCTTTAAACTGTTTTTCATTGTTTAAAACTTGAGTCCCTGCTTAGACTGCTGCCCCCGCAACCCAGCCCCGAATAAGTGGAAGAAAATGGATGGATGGATGGAAAACTTGAGTAATACTAGAGAGACACAATCACTCATTCAACAATCTAATATCCTCATTAATGTTCAATAATGGTCAAATCCACAGTTATTTTATTTACAAATAATGTCTTTGACTTGGGTCGCAAAGGTTTGTGACTTTTAAAATATAGGTGCCCAGAAAAAAAGTTTGGGAAACACTGATGTAGACAGACTAAGAGTAAAGGTTACGTGTGAATGAAACAAAACACAACTCCATGTCTGTTTTTGAGGAAGTATTATAACAAGACTTAATGCTCACAAGAGTCTAGTTTGAATAATATAGCACCTTTAAGCTTCCTGTATGCAACATTTAAATGACTTTTTATATGACCATTCAAAAGATTAAAATTTTTTTGTTTTGAATTGGTGATAATTTCATCATTCTGGAACCAAGATAGAAGTTTTAAATACAGTTTTAAAAAATATCCAAACTTATGATCCACAAGTGTTATTTGTTATTGCCTGGTACCACAAATTTGCCAAATTATGGATAAATGTTCTTTCAACTAACAACAATCATGTCTTTGGGGTTGAATAATGGCACCACTTTCTGTGATGATCTCACTTTTGTTTATTTACACTGACAGAGTTAACTTTGTACCATGTTTCGTTTTATGTGGATAGGCCCAGTAATTACAGATATGAACCATAAACCAGCTCAAAACATCTGCAATCTGACAATTAAAATGCAGTTAGATCAAATTTCAACATAGAATTCTCACCTGTCCTCCAGCTCTAAACTACAGGCGTTATTGATACTTGATACTCTTATTGATACATCTCAGGCTCTGTTACGCAAATCAGACTTTAATCTGAGCTTTGTTTTAACACAAACTGACCATAAAGAACAAATTTTGTTGGAATTACAACATGATGTGTGCTGTTAAACAAGACCCTCTCAAATAACATTACAGTTATCTAGCATTATCCAACAGTTTTTCACTCTCACATTTTTGTTGAAAATCAAACACCTACACAGGACCATGAACACACGCATCGATCACAGACTCCTGAAAATGTGTTGTTTAAATCCATTTTGTATTTTTTCTTCAGTTTTCAGACCATGTTATCAGACAGTGTGAAAGATCCAAAGTTATGATCGACAAAAGTGAAAGTGTCATTATCATATCATTTGTTTGGGACCGGCTCCACAGACGTGTCATATTAATCTTGTGGCTTTAAGTACTTTCAACTGACAACAATCAGGTTACGTCTTTGTGGTTGAATAATGGCACCACTTTCTGAAGCTATTATGGGGAAATATTTTGGGTTTATTTTTACTGAGAAGAAGACTTGAACTTTGTGCCAGTTTTTGTTTTCGTTTCATGTGGATAGGCCCGGTAATTACAAAGATATTAACCGCGAACCAGGTCAGCAAATCTGCAATCAGACAGTTAAACAGCAAATTCCACCAGAAAAAAGCATCCTCCAGGTCACGTTTTTATAAAGCGCTTTTCCACCTTCGAGACACTCAAAACACTTTACATCAAGAAACCACTCACCCATTCACACACACACTCACACACCAGTGTACACACACACTGGGGGCAAGATTAGCCCAGCTGGTACAGCTTTTCTCCACTGATCCATGGGTTGGCAGTGCAAATCCAGCTCCCACAGATGAATGCTGTCATTGTGTCCTTGGGCAAGGCACTTAACCCATCTCACCCCCAGTGTCTGCATACACTGGTGTGTGAACGTGTGTGTGAATGGGTTCCTTGATGTAAAGAGCTTTGAGTGTCTTGAAGGTGGAAAAGAGTGAGAATGGGATTCGAACCACCAGCCTTATACTGTAAGGCACTATGCAAACCTAAATTCAACCTATATGGTCAGAATTAATAGCCAGTCTGGCACCACCTAGTGCCTCCGCTCAATTTCATTTCTCTCCAGTGACTAGGTCAGGAATCAGAATACACCAGACGGTTTGCAAGAAATCCAGAAGTTGTAGACCGCACACTGGCCAATCAGCGAAGAGCTGTGAAGCCATGACGTCAAAGTCGTCGCGCCTGTCTGGGTCCCTTTTGTGGTACAGCACAACAAAAAAACAAAGTGGTCGAGATGGATGTAGACGAAGACATACATTCTGTGTTGGCAACAATTCCCAAGATCAAGGATTTAAAGCCGGAACAAAGAGAATGGTGAATTTTATCAAGGGCAAAGACATTGTTGCCCTTCTTCCTACAGGATTTGGGAAAAGTTTAATATATCAGTTAGCCCCGTTAGTGGTGCATTACATACATCACAACCAAATAGCTGCGATTGGTTAAATAAAAAAAGTACTCGCCTACTGTCTAGCGAACAAATCCTAATGTTGCGAGGTCCACGAAGGGAAACCGACTGATGAATCAGGCTACTGAATTAAGTAGAGGACCTTAAAGGTTGTATGGAGGATTTTTTTTTGTTTCAAATTGTCAATGATAGCATTATAGAGATGCAGTAGCCTTGTAATTATGATGACCAAAAAAAAAGAGAATAAAAATTCATCAACTCTGGATGTGGTGGGGCTAAACATTTGCCAATAGATAAGACATTGCCTCGTTATCTGTTAGCTGACAGGCTGTCAATCAAACTCCCTACGTTTCTAGCGTAACTGACTTGCCTGCGCACCGCCGGTACGTGGTTTACGTACGCCTGTCACGCAGTCCACAGACGCAAGCCGCACAGACGCTGTTTACTCCACCAACGCAACAGTTCTTAGCAGCTTTTTTTTACCTATATCTTCCTCGCAGTTCGCACAAAGTTTGTTGCAATGGCGACAAGAATCCAGGAGCAGTTAGCCCCAAAAGAAAGTCCGTTTTTGAGATTGCTGAAAGAAGAAGACAAGGGGAAAAGCAGCGAAGCCAAACTAAGGTGATTCTTGAAGATTCATTCCAGCGATGGCGCAACTGAAGCAGACGCAGGGTCTAAAGACCGATACATTGGTCTCCAAATTACTCCTGGACAGGTCACTTCTGCTTATTATGAAAACGTACTTTATTTCCAAGAGCTAGTCAAACGTTTTTCAGGACACGAAAGCGATATCCTATGTCTGAAAACGTAATTTTCAATGCAAAGAAAGAGTCCGCTTGCTGCTGCGTGTTGTAGCTAGTTCATTCGCACTGAATCTCCGCGCAACCTTCTCTGCACCCCTTTCCTGCTCCTCTCCCCGCTGCCCGATCCGCTCTTCTCCCTGCTCCTCACTTCTCGTCCGCGCACGAAATGTCCGCACACCCGCTCCCCCCGCTCCTCACTTCTCCGTCTTGCCTAACCAACACTGTAGTTAGTTGTTTACAAGTCATGTGCACCGGCTGTAAACAAACCTGTTTCTGGCGTAAGGAGGAGGCGGGAGGAGGCATTTCTACGTAGGAGCTGTAGGGAGGGGGGGGGGGGGTGGTTTCACGCATGCGCAACATTTGAAAAAGGACAAACAGTCGCTGGATTTCTCGTTCCTTGGAAAATCCTCTATACAACCTTTAAAGCTGGTATTAAAGGCTTTTCCATTTGCAGAGATAAGTGTTCAAAGCATATAGTGCTAAATATAGTTAAAGAAGTCTTATATTTTCTTTTTTAGATTTAAATTTAAAGATGCATTGTAACTTTTCTGGTGGAGGGTCCGTCAAATGTTTTTTCTCCATGGAGATGTTATTGCTTTGTCTGGAATGTTTCACAGTATGGAATTAAACCTTTCTATCTACATGGAGACCAAACCAGACCAAGTTATAGGTCAGATCTGTGGAGAGGCACAGTCAGAATTCCAGTTTTTCTAGGTGTTTCTGAGCTATAAAACCACCTGTAATTGAATGAATGCATCGCAAAGCTGTTTAATGTCATACTGTACAACAAGTAATAGCTGCATGTGTCTTACGTGTGTCCGATTTCATGGGCGATGGTGAACGCTGTGCCCAGTCCGATGTCTTCATTAATACTGCAGCTCCTCTCTGGTTCACACATCCCCCCGACAGGAGCCAGGCCTGATGAAGCAGAGGACACTTAGAACAATAGTGAACATTTAAAGTGCATATGACAAGGTTTTATAATTATTACATATATATTACTATGTGGTTAATATTTATTTACATCAATTAAGTGTCAGTTTGTAGAAAGTTGAGAAGAAAAATACAACAATACAAGAAGAAGTTCTGTTTTTCCTGTTTTTGTTTTTTTATATGACACGCTACGCTTTATAATTAGTCTAACCAGTCATATACACTTGAACCACATTTACATTTGATTTTGTAATATGTAAACCACTGGCCCCCGTGTTTGAGTTACCTAACGTCTCACAGGGCTTGTTCTTCTGGATGCAGATGTCGTACCTGTAGAGATACAAATAGAACAGACTGTTGACAGTGGAAATGTGGAGGACTTCAGCTGCCAACAGATACAGCTCCTGGTGTAATCTGAGCAAATCGACCATGTAACTGCACTCATCATTCAAACGCATTATTCAGGAACATTAAGACTTTGACAGACACAGACTCAGACTCAGCTCCATTATAAGGCTGTGCGGTTAACAGACTATTCATCAAGATGGAGGTCCAGGCATTTCTAATTGTCAGTGATCGGCTTGGTTCTTTTTAATGGAGAGACTCACAGAGACTTCAGCCAATCCTCTATCAGTAAAAGCATGTGGTTTGGAGCAGAGTTCAGACTTGGAGGAGAAAAAGGTAATTATTAAAAGTCTGTCTTGTTTATGTTCAGGAAATTAATGTCGAAAGCCATTTTTACTAAGTTAAAATAAAACTAAATTGTGATTGATCAATATAAAAAAAAATATATATTGTATACATTACCTATTACATCTACACACCTTACTTTGTAAAACTTGCATGTCTTCATGCCAGTTTTGCTACATTGAGTGAAATGTTCACCAGTATACCATTATTTTTGTCTATCACCCTAGAGACAACCAGGTAATGACATGAGACAAGTTCCAGGTTAGGTCTGTGGAGAGGCGACCCTGCTCTCAATAATAACACACATTCAAGATTTTTGTAACCATACTTGAATAAATACAAGATATACATGTTTAATGCCATACTGTGGAACATTCCAGGCAAAACAGAAACATTTCTATGGACAGGTGGTGTAAACCTCACCAGAAAAGTTACTCATCATGCTAAAAGGTGCATTGTGTAACTTTTTTTGTTGGGGTCCGTCACCTGCTTGTTTCTATGGATATGTTATTCCTCTGCCTGGAATTTTCCACAATTGACATTAAACAGCTCTACTTTACATTTATTCAATTCCAGATGCTTTTATAGCTCAAAAATACCTAGAAAAACAGAAATTCTGACTGTGAGAGGGGTCGCCTCTCCACAGATCTGACCTGCAACTTGGTCTGGTTTGGTCTCCATGAAGATAGAAAGGCTTAATACCATACTGGAAAACATTCCAGACAAAGCAATAACCTCTCCATAGAGAAAAGCATCTGACGCACCCTCCAAAAGAAAAACTACACAATGCACCTTTAACTTGACTTAAAATCGCTATTGAATTTGAACGAATGGAAAATCTCAAAGAAAATAGTGTGCAGCCCTATATAAACTTGACTTATAGTTTAGATATTGGGTGGTGGTGGTGGGCTGTTCCAGGAGCAGTGAGCATTTAAGGACACAGGACCACAGAGATAGGAGACAGATATGTTTGAACAATAGCAGGAAATCAGGGATGGTCACACTGGTGTCTTCAGTCTGGACAGCTTCCACCCCGTGTTTGATAAACGCATGTGTAAATAAGTATATGAACCGTTCTCACAAAACCACGTCTCAAAACTGTCAGGGCATTTAAAGGGGTTGTATGAGATTTTTTCATGCAATAGAATATAATGTGTCTTGCCCCATTGAAGATTTATTATAAAAGCAGTTCTTAGTGAGAAAATGAGACTGCTGTGTACTCTCTGCATCTAATAACAAAAGGTATTTATAGTGCGCTATTAGCATGCCGGTTGTTGTTTGCATTACAAACACAACTCTAGGTCTGTTTTTGAAGAGGTGACAACATTCTAACATGACTTAAAGCTCATAAGTGTCCATTTTGCATAATATAGGCTCTTCAACTAAAATTCCCTGTATTCCAGTAGTTGTGTTATGCTCTGGAGAGGTATTTGTGGCAGCTCTGGTCACACTGAGATGACTGTCACCAAACTGTGGCTCTGTTTGCACATTCCACACTCAACAGCACCAGTGTCTGTGAGTCCAGACTGTGGGAAAACCAGGACCGGGCTCCTAAAGATGAAAATAGCTCAGGTTTGAACAGATGTTGCTGCTTCCTCTATATATATATAAAAAAAAAAAAAAAGGTTAAGCTACCAAACATTCACACCATAGACTGCATATATAAATGGACATAGTTAACCTCCTAGTGGCTGTGTTCCAAATAGGAAGAGGGGCGCTTCCAGCTCCATCAACTCTGGGTCAAATTTACTTTACATTGAAAAACCGTCCACTCTCTCTGTAACTGCTACAGTGAGCCTCGTCATTTTGGTCTTACAATATTCATGTTAACAGTTCTACATGATCCTGGTTTTATGAATTTTATTTTGCTATTTTGTACGTAAATAAATTACTATTCTTTATAAGAAACTCAGCTCCAAATTTGCTCCTACAACTGATAGCTTCTGTGAGCTTCATTTGACTGGAGCTGAACACTATGGGTGACGTCAAATTCCCTTAGTCCACTTCTATATACAGTCTATGATTCACATACTAAAAACCTAAATGTAATACTGTGTGTGGTGGGAGAGGTCCTGTGGTGGCTACCGAAGTATAGTGTATTACATATATTATAGTTTATTGACTGAAAATTGACAACTGAAGACTGAGAGGTGACAAAGCTATGGTGAGAGCACTCATACTCATAGACTGTACAGCATTGTTTCCCAAAGACTGGGCCGTGACCCTCAGGTGGGTCACAAGAGATTTTCTGGGGGGTCGTCATGTCACGATCTGGATGTAGATCTGTAATATACAGTTTTGACTATACGCTTAATATGCTGTTACATACAGACAGGCTCACTTATCTCATTAGAAATGTTGAAATGTTATGACATGTTTTGTATCATTTTCTAATCTTTTTGTAATTATTTTACAGACTGTTTTGTTCCAGTATTACTGGCTCAATTGAATGTTGAAAAGAAAAAGAAATGGGCTTAATTTAATGTCCAAATAGGCAACTTTTATTACTTCTTCAGTGACTGGTTTTTGTTGTTTAAAACTTGAGTAATACTAATTGATCACTCAGTCAGCAATAAAATATCCTTATTAATGTTCAATAATGCTCAAATCTACCTTTATTTTGTGATTTATTAATAATGTCTATTGACTTGGGTCGTGAAGGTTTGTGAAAGTTTGGGAAAACACTGATGTACAGTATAAAGAAGTGCACTAAGAGAGAGGGACATCACACACAGTTCCTTGTCTTGGAGTTTTGTCTTTGAGAATATTTAACACCAAAAAATGTGTGTCTATTTCAATAACTTTACATAAAGTAATTTTTGGCTCTGTAAAGATTTGGAAGGCAAATATGCTTTGCACTGTGGTTATGGATATTTCCATAGCCAAATCATAAGGAATTGACTATTGTGCATGTTATGGTGAATAGAATGAATCCCCCAGGTTTCACTGTATCATTTTTTATGACCTTTTTTGTGTATTATAGGGGGCGCTATATTCCCCATTGGTTATGTGCTCATTACTCTGCTCTATTTAACCTGAGTTTGTGCTGCTGATTTAGCTCTGTAGGGCCATGCATGTGGTCAGGAGCAGTAGTGTGGATCGGGACGATTTTTTGTGTCCAAGACCGGCCCTCATCCGACAGAGGAGTGATTGAATCCAACCGAACCTGACGCAATTAAAATCATATTATTTTCAAAGGCCTACTAACGGCACACGTAGGATATTGTTTGACAAAAAAGAAAATCTATAAAATTTGCAACACATAATATTCAAAAGAACATACGTGTCTCAGTAGTGTCTCAGTTTGGTTGCATTCAAATGATTTAAACTTGGTAGACTTGGTTTGGTTCTGTTTTATAGTTGTGGTTTAGTTCTAGCCCAGTCCAGGTGTAGTGCTGAGACCCACTTTTAATGAGGTCTAGTTGCAGGTTATAACACCAGTAAAGATGGTGTCATAACATAGCACCTCCCACTGTCTCAGAACAAAACAATGAAGAGATGGACTGAGAATGTGCACGGTCAGCTCGGAGGAACTGCTGATAATCCCGTCTGGATATAGCAACCAAATTATTCCAGGACATCAGTTTGATTTAACGACCACTTAATGTCAGACTGCAGGCTCGTTTTGGTGATTTAAACTTCAGATTTTAACACAAATTATAAGTGTGTTATTTGTAGGTGTCTCAAATCATTTTGTAATTATCTTTCTGTTTGGAGAAGGTGGTTACTCAAAAATAAATTGATGTTGTGCAAATCTATACAGACACATGTGATTTGATATATTTTTCAGTGTTGACAAACCAATGAAATTTTATTAAAACCACACAATAAATATAAAATAAGGTAATTAGAGGAAGTGGCTTTTATGTGTGTAGAGTTATGTGGTGTTGACAGTCAATACTAGTCGATTTTGAGTATTTGAAGCTCACAAGAGGAAGTCATGTCTACAGCTGGAGGGACCTTGTAAACTATAGGAATGTGAACACTAGTGACTAAACCAGTAATTGTCTCATACACAGTTTGTTGTATCCAGATGTACCACTGGACCAGCTCAGTCCATTTAAAATAACCTTTGGCGCAGAGGAGGGCTGCTGGGTTTAGAGAAAGGAAAACAATGAATGGTGATTTTTCTGACAAGTGTTTGAAATTCAGATCAGATTTCCAATTTCTGTTTAAAAAGTGTGATTCTATTGTAAACAGCATTGTAAACAACCCCGGGAGCATTAACATTTGAGAGAAGACTGAACTATAAACCGATAAAAGAACTACTAAGACCAACTAATACAAGAATCTCATTTCAGATCGTGTTTGTAGAAGTCTAAAACTAAAGGGTTAGAATGTTTCAGTTGTAAACATTCTAGTAAATAGTTCAAAGAAACTCAAATCACAGTGTGTAAAATGTGTTGGCTGGGCCTGGTTAGTACTTGGATGAGAGACCGCTGGGACTACCAATGGCAAAAAAATGTGTTGTGTCATTAGAAAAGGCACTTCACCCATATTGCCTAGTATGAGTATGTTTGAGCGTGTGTGTGTGTGTGGGTGTGTGTGTGTGCCTGTGTGTGTGTTAGTGGTGGTCGTAGGAGCCGATGGCAGCTACAGATTGGCAGCCTCACTTCTGTCAGTCTGTCCCAGGGCAGTGTGGAGAGAACGAGAAACTGCACTTAGGGTGTCTTGAAAGTTACTATATTAATCCAGTGTTAGCACTAGTAGGAACCATACAGCTCAAATGAAATTAAACATTTTAAAAAACCTCCCAAAAAAGTCACCCTTATTGGAAAATCTACACTGCCCTACAAAGGCAGAATGCCATAAACATCATGTTTGGTCAAAAATGAGTTCATGTGATATTGTTTGTATTTGAGACCTCCTTTATCATGTGAAGAAATATTGTGAAAAATATTGAACTCAAAATTGACCCTTATTTGTCAGTTCCTGTGCTCTGTCTTTGTATCATGAGCCAATAATAAGGAGTTGTGCAAAGGCAAAAGGCAGAAACAGTGCATGGTTTGTTTGTGATTTAGTGAATAAAAATATTTTATTTATCCAACCTCTCTCAACACAGATTATACGGCTATTCGTGGATTGGCTGGTGCCCGAACTGGCACTTGCAGGGTTTTTGCAAACCGTCTCGTGTATTCTGATTCCTGACCTAGTTGCTGGAGAGAAATTAAACTGAGCAAAAGCACTAGGTGGCGCCAGCCTGGCTAGATGACTCGAAATTGGTGAGGTGTTCTTAGAATGGATGGAAATCTGGGGAAAATCAAGCAAATAATGATCATGTCAGTTTCTGTCTTTTGTCTTTGCACGACTCCTTATTTTTGGCTCATGAAACAAAGGCAGAGTCCAGGAACTGACAAATAAAGGTCAAAGGTCAATTTTGAGCTCAATATTCTTAACATACAAATATTTCTTCATTATAGCAACTAATTGTCAAATTTGGCAGCCCTACCTATTATACTTTTGTCTGGACAAAACAGAAACTTTGAAGTCATTTTTCTCAGTTTCACTCTGGTGAGTTAAGCTCTTTGGCTTTCTTTTGAGGTCATCATATACTGTATAATAAATAACGTCAACCCAACATAATGGAGACTTGGTTATAAAATGTAAAAATGGAGTTATAGCATCACAGTTAGAACAGTTACGAAGTGGTTTGTGTTTCTGTTCTGACCTGGTGATAAGCACGGCGGTGTCGTGGTGGGCGATCCCGTTGTCCGGTATGGCGTTCCCATAACTGCTGCGGTGCTGGATGGACTTCTGCCACTTACAGAAGCTGTCCAAGGACTTCCCCGCGTGGTGGTTAATCTCCAGGGTCGGCTAGTGAAGACAAGAAGACAGATACACTCACTACTGGTTTTACTATGTTTTTGTACCACTAATAAAACCTCACTTTCAGTCCAATGTTAACAGAGACAAATATTTTCTCTTATTACAAGCGCACAGTGAGGTCGAGGAGTCGGTCAAACACATTGGCCCGAGCTGGAGACAGATCGTAACCCAGGAATGAGTGTGGTAACAGAACTAGTAATTGTCCCATCCCGCAGTTTCTCATTTTGGGTGACCATTCTCAAATCAGGAAACCAAAGATAGACTGCTTTCTCTTATGCGCCAAGTTGTTCGATCCAATACTAATATTAGCCACCACTAATGACAATAACATGTACAGTAAAGCTACAGTAGATGTCTGCACTTCACAATATGAGAATGGAGTGGGAGTGTGAACAAAATATCGCAGCTCTGTGTATATGTACAAGCCCAGTAAAAATCGGATAACTAATCAGACAACCCAATAATTAGATCTGAGTTTGATGTGTACAAATCTGACCATCAAAAAAACACCTGATAATGTTTGGTTAAGAAATGCAGTACTTTTTGAGAGTATAATTAATTTTTGGGGGTGAATTTTCAAGTTATTCCAAGATTTTGCAGTGACACCATGGTGGGAGTGTTCTGAATGTATATGTACCAGTATGTTAAAATGTTCAGCAGTTACCATGACACGATGATCTATATGGTGTTCATGATCCTGTTTAGGAGTTTGATTTTCAACAAAAAGGTGAGAGTGATTAACTGAAAAACTGTCTGCAACATAGCTACGCAGCTTTTAGGGGTGTAACAGTGTAACGATACACAAAAATCACGGTTCAGTACGTCCCTCGGTTTTGAGGTCACGGGTTGATTCATTTTCAGTGCAGTATGGGAACAAAATGCAAAACTATTTGTGTGTTTATTAAACCAACAATTTGTTTTAACACAATACAAACAGGAAAATAAAATAAATGCAAAGTGCTGCTTGGTAATACTAATAAGAATAAAATTAAATATTCTCAAATAAGCAACAAATGTTTGAAATATTATAAAAAATAAATTCCTGTTAAACAGTAAACAAAACTTTTCAAAAAGTAAAGTGCAGCACTAACAGTTCCAGCATGAAGTTTTACTCAGTCTTCATATTTTTGGCCAGAAAAAACAACTTGTCTACATTGTCTGCAGTAAGTGCAGATCTGCTGCAGTTACAATGTCCCCAGTATTAAAATAGCCTTTCGCCTCGGACAGAGGTGGCAGGTATGGGGGGTATGGGGGCGATTCCGTGCTGGCGAAAGGTGAAAGTGAGGACCGGGGCTTGACAACCAAAGGTTTGTGAGAATTCAGATGTTTGGAGGGACATAGTCAATGCGTGGGGTAATTGTTGTCAACACTGTCGCTCTAACTATAAAGCGTAGCGGGAAACACTGCCACCCCAATCAATGGATGAGTTTCCTCATGAATATTAAAGAGCTGAGCCTTCAGTGTAGCTGCACATGTAGTGGCGGAATGTAAACACAAACAAATTGCACGAACTCACTCGTGCACAGCCCTGCACCGAACCGAACGTCCTGTACCAAAATTGTGCAACACAAATACATGTACCGTTACACCTCTTGTAGCTTGTGACTGTAATTTTTTTGAGAGGGACTGGTTCAACAGTAAAAAGCAGTTCACCTGTTGTAATTCCAATTAAAACAGTTCTTTCTTGTCAGATGTGTTAATAAAAGTCAGATTAAAGTCTAACAAAGCCTCAGACAGAGCATGCCTACAGTTAGCATCACACCACCAGAGACCATTGATGACATCAACTGCACACTATGAACTATATCAAACCAAAAAAGAGACCCTGCAATTCCCAATTCTACTCTGAAATGGTAAATTACAGTTCTAATTTAAACTGTATACCATATGGATGTCCTGAAGCACGTATTTATGGACATTTCACAGTTATAAATGAAACCCCAAAATCATACAGTCTCGTTTTCATCTGTCAAAAGACTTATGGTTAAAATGGCCGTGCCTCATTGACCACATGCTGTTAATAGTTCAGTTATAGGGTCACACAGTGGCTTGGACATCTCCTGTTTCACTTAAAATAACCCGGGCTTTGTGGTTACATGTGGGTTCGTTCACTTACCGCTGTTTCCTAAATTTCCAAACGCTTGGATTCATTTTGGGATGACTTTAGTGGTAGCCAAACTTGGTGCTTTATTGAGTGGAAGTGTATTACAGAGAAAATAGTTGAACGGTATGAAGATGGGTCTAAGACAAAAAAGAAAAAAACTATATATATATATATATATATGTATATATATAGAGAGAGAGAGAGATTTACATACAGAGTTGAATTCAATAAGGCACATTTTTAGATATCCATGACAACTTAAAAAATATCTTAGGTCGAATAAAGACAATCACAAACTTGCAGGAGAAAAAAAACTATAATCACTCTGACACCCAAGGCTATTTGTGGGTTTCTTCTTCCTGTTCTCAGGCGACATTTTGACATTTTGAGCACTTTGGACCAATGTTCCCCCTAATTTTTCATGTGTCTGAGCAAACACACAAACTCCCAGAGCAGTCCTTGGATCCACATGAGCAACATTCGACATGTTCCCTCGGGAAGAAAAGAAAAAAGGAAGACAAACTAAGACATGTAGCCTCTTCCCATTGTAGTATTCTATCTCATACTTGGCTTAAATGTCCTACATTACTCAATAGTGACTCTTGTGAGCTTTCAGTCATGTTAGAATGTTGTTACCTCATCAAAAACAGACCTGGAGTTATGTTTGTCCATCTACACAAAGCTCAAAATGCTCTGTTCAACCTTGTGATGTCATGAAGTGGTAGTTAACAGCTACCTTTTTTTGTTTAGTTCAGTAGAAATTGGCAATTCCAGAGGTGAAATTATCTAAATGATTCTAATGGTGGCATATGGAGTTAAAAAAGACAGTGAAGCACTTCCTGTAGTACTGCATGACATCACGAGGGAAGCAGTCAGAATAGAATAGAGAATAGAACTCTAATATCTACCTCTAAAAGCCTAAATATGCAGGGTATGTGTTAAAGGTGTGAATGAAAAAAACACAACTCCAGGTCTGTTTTTGATGTAACATGTATGAGAGAACAGTGTAATATAGGACCCACTGCTTGTAACAAAAATGGCAGCAAATCAATACTAGTTTCAGTATTGATTAATGTCCAGGTATCCATACTTTTGACAACCCTCGTAGGATGCATATACATAGGTTTTAGTTTCAAGTAAGGCTGAATGATCTATCATTTTGGACCAAAAATCGTGATCTCAGACAACACAATTTTGGAAGCATCAAAGTCGCGTTCATCCTAAAGCCCAATTTAAGGATTTATGGATCTGGGTTGAATTCACTGCCATAATGCAAAGATGGCGTTCATGTAAGGTTTAACATGAACCATCGCCAACATGATAGAAGCACAGAACAGACTCACCATCATCAGCACATCCTCTGTCACAGAAAGAACACACACGTTTAGTCCGACAGAAGCTGAACCGCATCAGGGCACAAGGAGCGAGCTGTTTTTTTCAGTGTTTATAGTTTATGCAAATTTGCCAGGTGGGTTTAAGTTTCATTTCTGTAAAACGTAAACAAATGTGCGCAAAGCTGCATTAAACACATTATTATTCGAAAGAAAGTGTAGCGGAGCACAGGAAATGTATGTAAAGCGGTGGTAGAGAGGACTAATCACAGCCCTTATTGTCTGCGTTGCTTCCCCCTGCTGTCTGCATTGTTTTGACGTGTAGTTAGAAAATTTCGGAGGTGCACATCAGTCGACACAGACTCTCTGCATCATGAGGGAGGCGATTTGACGCTGAACCATAAACTTGTCTTAAATCACTGGCGCAGGACTCTAGTATGATGTAAGTTTCTGTGGTGTTTGCAAATGTTCATGTGCACTGAAATAGTTTCCAGGTAATGACACAACTTTAATATAATATTTTACTACAAAAGTTTGTTTCTAATAGCTAATTGCCATGGAAACTGCCCTATAATCACTCTGCTCCCTATGAATGGGTATCTATTTCATGTTCACAGGCGACCTTTTGAGGATTTCCACCATTCAGAAGTTTTGAATTGTTAATTAGTATGGAAACAGTCCTAATATTTCATCATTCTGAAACCCATGGAAAGAAAGTAAACAGTATTTATCTATATGCATTAGTTTCACTGTGCCGTAAGACCCATTAATGTCCCCATGAAATAAATGTCCTGATGTTTTCTAGCAACCTTTTGAGGATTTTCACCATTCAGAAGAGATAATATTTAGTTTTGAATTGTTAATTACTATGAAAACAGTCCTAATATTTCATCATTCTGAAACCCATGCATAGAAAGTAAACAGTATCCTTCTATATATATTAACATGCATTAGTTTCACTGTGGTGTAAGCCCCATTAATGTCCCCATGAAGTAAATGTGCTGATGTTTTCTAGGCATAAGTGCAGTACTTTGAGTGGAGGAGTCACAAAGCGCCCTGTGTCAGACCCTGAACACTGCTCCCATTGGTTTTAAGGTTTTAAACATTTCCTGGTTGCGTCTTCCTCCTCTCCTCACATCCTCCACTGTCATGTCTCATTAACACAGACACTCCGGCCCATTACAGCGTCTGAGCAGAGACCAGCGCCAAGAGAGAGGAGCTGTTTTCACACATAACACAACTAAGAACTAAGTCTGTATTATCCCCTACATCCATATTAAAGGTGCACTGCGTAACGTTTCTAGTGGAGGGTCTGCCACCTGCTTGTCTTCATGGAGATAACTGCTTTGATGTGTTGTGTTCCAATGTTCCACAGTAAAGACTAAACCCTTCCAGATCTAAGGGCAATTGTAATACATCTGTCCTCGCCTGTAAGTGTTATACATCCTTTTTTTTCTGTACAACCTTTTATTTCACAATCTGCATGCTGTAGTTCTGTCATATGGTTGTAATAAAAACTATAGGACCAGAAATACAATAAATAACATAAAAAAAAAAAATTAAATGGAAAATAAAATTCACACTATCATACAAAACACACAGCAAACATGTATAAACAACTTTTTGGGCATAAAAAATGCTTAATTTGGGGACTTAGCTACAAAAGTGCAAAATATCAAGACTGTAAGTAAACTCAAAATACCCTTATTGCCTCAAAATAAAACAAAAAAAGTGCAAACGCCCAATTACTTGACTGTTGCCAGTCATGGAAATAGCTCGTGTCAGGTCCAGGGCACAGCGCCACATCACTTCCTGCATTTCCATGGTATTTATTACATTTGGGATTTGTACATTTTGAGTGAAGTAAACCTTTCAGAGCAAGGGATGCACAATTACACAGACCAAGATCCATAATTTGCCATTTATTTGAGAAATAACTGCACTTAGAGTGGCTTTTTCCATTGGTATGAACACAGACGCACAGAGCAGTCGATTATTTTGACTCACTACACTCTTTGGCAAACATTAGGCCAATCAAAATGAATGGATGCGTTTGGCGGAAAACAAAGTTTTCCCTATGTCATCATGCACTGTGTAATGTAGGATAATGCCGGAATTATGCTTGAAAAGCTGCATGTCTCTAGTCTGATTCATCAGCTGGGTTCATTTGGTGGAAACTGTCTGACATCGCAGCATTAGGATTTGTTTGCTCGAAGGTAGGCGGGTACTTTTTTAATTTGGTTGTGACATATGTAATGTGCCAAATCCCGAGGAAGAAGGGCAATAACATCTTTCCCCTTGATAAAATTCACCAAACATTCTCTTTGTTCCGGCTTCAAATCCTCAATCTTTGGCTGTATGGCTTCGTCTACATTCCATCTTGACCGCTTTGTTTACTGTTGTGCGACAAAAGGGACCCAGACAGGCACTTGACGTTTGACGCTTGATGTCATGGCTTCACAGCTCTTCGCTGATTGGCTGGTGCACGGTCTACAACTTCTAGGTTTCTTGCAAACCGTCTAGTGTATTCTCATTCCTGACCTAGTTGCTGGAGAGAAATGAAATAGAGTGGAGGCACTAGGTAGCACCAGCCTGGCTAGCAAGTCTCAGCTTTCAAGGAAAAAAGCAAGTTTCTATCTTTAATGGTTGGAAAGTTGCGCTTGGTTCTATAAAACATATTCCCAGATATCGTATATGATCCTGTCGTTCTGGAAAGGTTTTGAACCTATTTATCTCAAGGTCTCAGGTCAGAGTTAATTCTTGTATTTTATTTACACACATGCTGAATAAAAGCTAGACATACGCATTTAATGTCATATCCATGGAATATTCCAGGTGAAGAAAATTGACTAATTTGTTTTAAATGTCATAACACAGAAAAAAGAAAATATGAGTTTGTTTTATTTTTTTTTCATCTATTGAGCGATTTGAAGCATAATTAAATATTTAAAGGTGCACTAGGTAACTTTTTGGTTGGTGGGCCGTCACCTGCTTGTGCTTGATTGGATATGTCATTGCTCTGCCGGGAATGTTACACAGTATGACATTAAACAGATGATTACAGGTGATTTTAAGAGCTCAAAAATACCTAGAAAAACAGGCATTCTGACTGTGAGTGGGGTCGCCTCTCCACAGATCTGACCTGTAACTTGGTCTGGTTTGGTCTCCATGAAGATACAGAGGTTTAATATGAAACATTCTAGACGAAGCAACAACATCTCTGAGGACGGGGACTGATCCTCCACCAGAAAAGTTACACAATGCACCTTTAAATAATGTCACAAACTGAAATTACAACAAAAAATAAGGTAGTCTTTACAAATGTCATTTTAATACAACATTTTACAACTGCCTGGTATTAATAGTAAAAGGGTGGATATTTGAATGTATTTTTGTTGTGTTTGCTAACCTGCCTGGTGACTGTACAGGGAAATGAACTTTGGCTAAACAGGTGCAAAGTCTCTCCTTTTTTATGTGTTTACAAATGGTCCCTGTAAAAAAATAAACTCAACTAAATGAGAGCAGTTAAAATGGCAGCAGTTATTAAAATGAATGGTCTGATGAGCTGAATGTGGAAATGTCAAGGTGATGCCAAGGAACATTATGCAGATGTGAATGCTTGACAAACTGGAACAAATTTTTAACTCAACATTTCCTAATTTAACGTTTGAAAACCTTGTTGAATGTTGTGCATAGACTGAAATTCTGCCATTTAAGTGTGTATATGTAATGGTGTATTGATACTTTGCAGCTGCTCAACATTTCCTGGGCTTGTGCAGCTAACTGTAGGTACTGCTCTGTCAGAAGTTCTGTTACTCAAGTTAGACTATAATCTGAGGTTTATTTTAACACAGTCTGACCAGCAAGAGTTGGCTTAGTTGGAGACCTTATCTGGCCTGATCTGTCTTACTTGGAACTACAACATGTGAGCTGATTTGTACTGTTAAACAACTCAACTCTCGCCTTTTTGTTTGAAAATCAAACACTTAAACAGGACCATGAAACCTCTTATTGATCACAGGCTCCTGAAAATGTGTTGTTTAAATCCTTTTTTTTCTTCTTGAGTTTTTAGACTATTTTTAAAGTTTTTGTTAGTGTTTTCTTATGTGTGCATTAATCTCCATGGTAACTGTTGAACATATTGCCAACTTAGGGCCTGTTTACACAAGAACGCTTGCATGTAAAAACGACAAAATATTTGATCAGAAGTGCCTTTCATTTAGACGGTGATGCTGTTTTTGGGGCTTAAAAATGTAAAAATCTGAAACAACCCTCCAGAGTGTAAAAGTTGAATTCGTTCTGCCATAGAGTTTCTGTCTACACTGCCCAAGATGCAAAACTCGGGTCAGATCTGCTCATGTCGCGGCAGGTGTAATAAACTTACAGGAGGCTCCCAACAAATGTATAGAATCTGCAGAGATAGTATTAGTGAACAGAGAAGTATCTGCTATCACCTCTGTCAAATTCTGGATGCACCAGTTGGTTGAAGGCGAGCCAGACAACTATGGACGAGACCTGGAGAACCAGTTGATGGTGGGACAACTTTGTTCAAGGAGTAGCTGATGAAAATGCGTGGCGTGAAAACTTCCATATGTCCAAAGATGGCATTGTTGCTTTAAGTACAAGCATACCTAATCGAATTCCACACACTTTTGTGTCACCATATGTACGCAGATTTCCTCCTGAAAACGCTTGTCTAAACGTGGAATAAAAAGTGAAGACGCGACACCACTTTTACATCTTCTGTTCAGACCGTCATCATATAAACGTAGCCAGAGTTACATGTAGAACACCCCCAGCCTGATGTCACTGCAAAGTATCAATATGCATTATTGGCCAGATATTTATTGCACTGTGGGCACTAAAATCTGTATACACACTCACATCATGAGGACATGTTACCACTCCTGAAGGGACAAAAATCAGGCCCCTCAGATGACTTTAAGTTAAGCTACAAGTTGAAATATGTTGAAGTTTAAGACAATGTAATGTGCCCAAGAAGAATGGAAACCCAGTAGTATAGCAGTGTCCCCAACTACTGTTGTACGTAGTTGTTGGTATCAGTTAATATCGAGTATCGGCAGATAATTAAGTACTGATATCAGTATAGGAACTGAAAAAGTTAGTATCCTAGTTGTTGTCAGCATTAGCGTAACTGCTCTGGTCTCTGAAAGTTATGAATTGTGACTGAGTTATGAATTGTGATTGCAATGGGTAATTAGAACCCTCAGAATGCATAAGGTAAGTGAGGAATAACTTCGGACCACTGCAAAGTGTTTACATTGAACCAGTTCTATTTTTCAAGTTTTTAAAGCACTATTCGCATGCGATAAGTACAACCTAGGGACATCTGGTAATTTGAAAATTATGGCCCCACCTCTGTGTTACTTGCAGCATATTCACACGGGATAAGCAAAGTCAGTATATTACTCTATTTTGCTGACACTGACACAGAGATTGAAAGAGAAAAGAACACAGAAAAAAAAAAAAGAGACAGAAAAGGCGCAATTACAACAACAAACACTGAGATGCAGATTCGCACGGGACTAGTATTATCACCGGACAACTGAATTTGGCGAAATATAGTAGGTCATTTGCGGCGGAATATTTACTTTACAAATTACAGACATGACGCATTCACAAGGGATTAAGGCATCCTCCGCAAATATTACAAATTACCAAAGGACTAAAGTGCGAATATGGCTTAAGTAAAAATGGAATGGAAAGTAAAAATCACAAAAACACCTTTAATAGTGTATGTAAGAGTTTATGTTATAATGTAATGTTTTAGAGGCCTCACCTGGTCCTCCATGAGCAGGATGAGGCGGGTCACCACGATGTTGACAGCGTTGCCCAGGCTCGAGTCCTGGAACAGTTTGGCAACCTGACCTCCAAGGAAACAAGAAAAGACCAGTCTTAAAAACAGATGGAAACACACAGCAAATGACAGTAATTATTATTTATTTACATAAAACAACACTAATATGTAAATCTCAGCCTTGCCAGAGCCTGAAACTAAAACAGTCTCCGGTCCAATCCACTTTATTTATACAGCTCATTTTATAAACATGGCAGTTTCCAGCGCACGGTTGTCAAAAGTATTGAAAATTAAATCAGATACTAATCAACACTAAACTCGTAATGAAACTAGATACTCATTTGAGCAGTTATCAATATTAAAAGTCACATTCAGAGGACAAAAATTAACCTTTCTTGAATAGTTTTAGAATGATGTTGAGCTGTATCAGTACAAGTATAAGAGCACATAGAGTAGTATACACCCATGGACCACTGTGGAACCCACCTGGACCACTGAGGGATTACACAGATATAAGACCACATGGGAAAAAGAAAAGAAAGTATCATATTTCTTATATCATCATATTTAATGCTGAAAATCACATAAAGTATTGAAAATTGAATAGGGTGTAATGATATCGTTATGGTATGAATCTCATGGTATGATATTTATTGCGATATTGTGGGAAAACTCACGATATGGTGGGAAGGATCACGATTAAGGATGTAACAATATCCAAATCTCTCTGTATGATATTTTCACGATATACATCTCATGGTACGCTATTTATTGTAATACTTTGTGGAGGCAAAAAAAACTGCTAATTTGATACTTTTTCCTCTTAAAATGCCTTGACAAGATTTAATCCAAACAACTAAGACTTAAAAAGTGCTTAGAACTGTTATTTCTTCTTGTAGTCTGCACTGAAACGGAGCAAAGGATCATGGTCTATGTACGGTATTTTCCAGGCTATTAGACGCGCTCTCAAGCCTTCAACCCCATCAAAAAACTAAAGCGTGCCCCGCAATCCAGAGCGCCCTATACACAAATCCACTCAGGTGTCCCAACACGACTTCAGTTAACTTACAAAGTCACACCACCCGCTGCGCACGCAAACACACACGGAGCAGACAGCGAGTGCACAGCGAAAAACACCCACAGACACACTCATCACTCCACGCGGACGAGGAACAGAACGGAGGAACAAACCGAAAAAGGGAGTGCAGTGTGTCACTTCTAGCCACAACTGAACAACTGAGTCACTGCGAACACACGCCGACAATCCGTTGGTCCCAGACAGCACCCTCCCTACACGCCACAACTGAACAAAGCCCAGAGTCACCGTGAACGAACCAAACAAAGTCCGACTGACCCATCCAACTGTCGTGTTTCGTTTAAAGTCCGGTGCGGTTTATTTGTGAAAAAAGTTCAAAAGTAGACAATTTCATGACAGTGCGTCTTATAATCCAGAGTGCCTAATAGCCCGGAAAATACAGTAGGTCCCTGTTTTTTTGGGGTTTTTTTTTTGCTATTGCTGCAACATAACTCTTAATTTAAGCAAAGGAACTTGTAATTCGATATATTGTGATGGTCCATGATATTATTGTGAGAACTTTGACGATACGATGTCACGATATTTCAGTTATTGTTACATCCCTAATACTGAAAACACTATCAGAACTGAAAAGGCTGGACTAGTGTATCCCTAATTAAAATACAGAGCTACAGAGAGTTGTGTGAGTTGTGATGAAAAGAGAAAAAGAAATTGAGCAATCTTTTTTTTTTTAACGTTTTAATTTTTTTTCCCATGGCTTACTCCGATATCGATTGTTTAGAATCCACATAGCCATTAAACTCTGCCGATATTTTTGGGCCTATATGTAGAGCTAATTTGAACTATTTTCTCCAAATTATGTTTTAATTTATGACAAACTCACCTACAACCCCTTTTTACCACAAACCTTCAAGAGGGCTTTGTAGTCATGTTTTGAGCAGTTATCTATTGCTATTGCCAAGTATTCAAATAAAGCTTTAAGTGTAATCTTATGCAGCACGGTAAAACTAAAATATCGGCCTATGCTGGAGATATAAAGGTGCACTATGTAACTTTTTGGTTGGGGGTCTGTCACCTGCTTCTTTCTATGAAGATGTCATTTCTCTTCCTGGAATGTTCCAAAGTGTGACATTAAACAACTCTACCTTACATTTATTCAATATACGTATTTTTATAGCTCAAAAATACCAAGAAAAACAAAGATTCTGACTGAGCGGGGTCGCCTCTCCACACATCTGATCCGTAACTTGGTCTGGTTTGGTCTCCATGAAGATAGAAAGGTTTAATTCCACACTGTGAAACATTCCAGACAAAACAATAACATCTCCACGGAGAAAAGCATTTGATGGAAACTCCACTAGGAAAGTTACACAATGCACCTTTAAGGCAGATAGTCGATATGCTAAAAAAAAGTGCAAATATCAGCCAATCGATATATCGGTCTGTCTCTAGTAGAGATGTAACAATATCCGCATCTCTCGGTACGATACTTTCATGATGTGCATGGTAAGAAATTTATTACAATATTTTGTGGAGGCTAACAAAACAGGCTACTTTTTCCTCTTAAAATGCCTTGACAAGACTTTGGTTCAGTCATAATCCAAAGAATTAAAATGTAAAAGTGCTGATGACAGTTATTTCTTCATAGTCATCTGCACTTAAACTGAGCATCACAGTCTATGTAGTTCCCTCTGTTGTGTAGCTATATTGCTGGAGCATAACTGTTCATTTAAGCAGAGAGACTTGTCATTCGATATATTACAATGGCTTATGATATTATTGTGAGACTTTTGATAATGGTAAATGGTCACATTTTTATGTAGCGCTTTACAACAAGAAATCACTCACCCATTCACACACATTCACTCACACATTCATACACCAGTGTACGCCGACATTAGGGCTGAATGATTTAAAGAAAAAACTGAATTGCAATTTTTATAGCAGATATTGCGATTTCGATTTCGTCCACGATTTTTTTTTCAAATCAAGTTTTAGTGCACATGAACATTTGCAAACATCACAGAAACTTACATCATACCAGAGTCCTGCACTGATGATTTGATGCTGGACCGTAAAGCCCAATTTATGCAGACAATAAGGACTGTGATTGGTCCTTTATATCACTGCTCTACACACATTTCCTGTACTCCATTTTCCTTTCTTTGAATATACATTGAGTAATAATGTGTTTAATTCAGCTTTGCGCACATTGTTTACATTTTACAGAAATAAAACTAAGAGATGGCTAATTTGCACTAACTGTATAACTTAAGAAAAAAAAAAAAAACAGCTCGCTCCTTGTGCTCCTGATGTGGTCAGCTTCAGTGGGACTAAAGGACATGACTGAGTGGAGTATATGTGTTCTTTCTTTGACAGAGGATGCGCTGATGATGGTGAGTCTGTTCTGTGCTTCTATCACATTGGAGATGGTTCATGTTAAACTTTACACGAACCCCAGGTTTAAATCCTAGCCTCCTAGCACTGTGGTGGTAAATTACTTCGCGGCCCACAGACCTTGACGCAGACCCATAAATCAAAAACAACGGCGACAAGGCAACAGCGGCAGTGTGCACTGTGTCGCCACAGAACTACACTTAAATTGGGCTTTAGGAACACTGCAAAAAAAAACAAGGCTTTGAAGCTCCCAAAATCGTGTTGTCTGAGATTGCGATTTTTGGTCCAAAAACAATAGCTTATTCAGCCCTAGCAGTCATTAGGGGCGAGATGGGTTAAGTGTCTTGCCCAAGGACACAACAGCAACATTCATCTGTGGGAGCTAGAATTTCACCGCCAACTTGTGGGTCAGTGGATCTGAAAGCTCAACCAATGATTTTTATGTGGAGAGTGGGATTCGAACCGCCAAGCATATATACAATACAATATCACGCCATTTCAATTATTATTACATCCCTAATCTCTATTACAAAGTGGCACGTTCCAAGAGTCAGTGATTATTATAAAACTTAAAAGCCCCACAGTCATAAAAAAAAGTAAAGTTAGAAACCAACAGCAGCAGCAGCAGCAGCAGCAGCAGTCGTGTTAAAGCTCCTATAGACACTTGTCATTACTGCGTCTGGCTCGAGAGCTCTAGCTGCAGTGACAATAACAGCAAACAGCCCTTCATTAAATACATACCAAATACAAATACGTGTGTGTGAGACTTAAGTGATTAAGTGTGTGTGAAGTGACGTCCCCAGACTGAACCAGGGCCAGTGACGACATACAGGCTCAAACTGTCTGCAGAGCCCCCGGCAGGTCCCCCCACTCAAGTAATGACTATAACACATTTGTTTATATTTCGGTATACTCTTAAATATAGTTTAGATTTTTATATCTGACACTTTGTTGAAATAAACATAATTAGTTTCAACAATGATTAATGAGAAGCAGTCACTACTTTCAGGTTTTTGCGATGATCTCACTGGTGATGACATATTAAAAGGGCCCGTATTACACCGTTTTCTGATCTATGCTATAATGTTGTTTCCTCATCAAAAACATAATTGTGTTTTGTTTCATTCACAACCTCCATATTTAAGCTGTGGTCTTTTCTCAAACTAACAAACACTCTGCTCCACCTTGTGATGTCATGTGGTGATACAGTAAGTGCTCCACTGTGTTTTTAAACTCCATACACTTTCACTAGAATCAACTGGATGATTTCAGACCTGGATTTACCACACTCTTCTGAACTAAAACTAAAAAGGTAGGTGTTAACTTGAAAACTACCACTACATGACATCACAAGGTGGAACAGAGCCTTTTGAACCCTGGAGAAGTAGACAGACTAATAATGCAGGATTACTTAAACACGTGTGAATAAAACAAAACACAATTCCAGGTATGTTTTTTTTTTTTTTTTATAACATGGCTTAAAATTCACAAGAGTCGATTTTATGTAATATAGGACCTTTAAGGATGATAGTTGTGACAATAATTAAAATACTACATATTATTAGTCATATGTATGTAGTTTAGATTACAAACGGATACATGTTTCTGAATGTTTAAGGTAGCGCTGCAGTCCACTAAAGAAATTCTTGGTCGACCAATCAATTACTCGACTAAAAAAGGGGGCATGGCAAAAGCTCTCAAACCTATTATGTGTCTCTATCAGGGCTGGGTATCATTCAGAAGCTGCAGATACAATACATACCTCGATACATAGGCCACAATACGATACAGTGTTCTTACGATTTGATACGATATGTGTCAAATCGATTCAATAAGATTCAATAAAAAATAAAGTCCAAATCATGGCTGTGATACTAAAAGTCTTTGTTAACCCACTTCTTGAACAAAGTGAATATGAAATATGAAACATTTTAATCATCAAAACAGTGAAAATGTCAAATGTGTTGCATAAAAAAGTTTCCTTCCTCTGAACTAGTAAAAAAAACTGTAACGCTCTAACAAAATAGTTGAGCGGTCAGATCCACTGACCCACAGGTTGGCTGGTGTGATTCCAGCTCCCACAGATGAATGCTGCCGTTGTGTCCTTGGGCAAGACACTTAACCTACCTTGCCCACAGTGTCTGTGTACACTGGTGTATGAATGTGTGTGTGAATGGGTGAGTGGTTCCTTGTTGTAAAGAGCTTTGAGTGCCTTGAAGGTGGAAAAGCGCTATAGAAAAATGCGACCATTTACCATTTACCATGATATATTGATATGTCAATATTTGTGAACACCCCTAGTCTCTATTATGTATTAGTCGACCAATATACATTTTGGTCAGAATCAGAGGTGAGTAGAGTAGCCAAAAATTATACTCAAGTAAGAGTAACATTACTTCAGAATAATATCAAGTAAGAGTATAAAACCATTTATAATTTTAAGTCAATGCTATTTGAAGTACAAAACATTAAATTCTGGTATTTTCAGAGGATAGAAACAACTAACAACAAATCATTTCGTATTACCAACACACAAAAAAAGATCTAATGTAATATAAAGTATGCAGTTTGAAAAGTATAATTTCTTTTAAAAATTACTAAGTAAATGTAACTGAAACTACAGCAGATTGCATAAACAATGTTGAGTCTTTTGTGTTGTGAAACTTACAATATTCATGACTGCCAGGATGTACTGCTCGATGTCCCGTCTCCCGTGGTAACCGACCATCATCTTATCGGCGACCACCAGCGTCTCCACGTAGCGCTCGCGGCTAACAGAGCGCTTCAGAGGGAGCTGCCCCCGGCCCACCTGGTGAGGGGGGGTCTTCAGGGTCCTCTGCCACCACGCTGCAGTCTTCATCGGCTTCTCATCTGTGAACGTAAAGAGACGGATTTAACATTAAACTTAGACAAACTTTATTGATCCACAAGGAAAATTATTTGGACACAGTAGCTCACACATAACAATATAATATAATAACAAAGTTGTAGGGAGTATTATCTGTTACATAAGGCTGAGTTGCTGTACAGTTGGAAGGAGTATTATCCATTACGTAAGGGTGAGTTGTTGTACAGTTGTAGGGATTATTATCTAATAGATAAGAGTGAGTTGTTGCACAGTTGTAGGGAGTATTATCTGTTACATAAGGATGAGTTGTACAGTTGTAGGGAGTATTATCAATTACATAAGAGTGAGTTGTTGTATAGTTGTAGGGCGATAAAACAAAAAAAAATTTGGCTGATATTTGTACTTTTCAGGATAACAGCCTTAAAAACTCCAGCACAGAGCAATATTTTGTTCTGGACAACCTGCTCTGCTGCCAAAAGAAAAAGCATAAAACTCAAATTGAACACTTTACTGGGAAGTGATAACTCACAAAAATTGGCTACACAACACTCTTAAAGGTTTGTGGTAAAAGAGCGCTGTGGGTGAGAAAGACTTGGGTTTTTAGTCAATTTAAATAGCATAATTTGGGGAAAATCATCAAAATCTGCATTACATATTGGCCCAAAAATGTCGATGGAGCTTATCAGACATCACTTTCTCAGGACTGTAAACTATTGGTATTGGCATCGCTCAAAACCCATATCAGTTGATCTCTATTATTATTTCACACAGGTTTCAGAAAATGGTGCCCTTACTCAACCCCAAAGACATGACTTTTAAGGTGGTTGGTTTGTGGAGCCAATCCCTAACAAATAATAAGGTTGAACAGTTCTGGATCAAACTTCGGATATTTCTTTCAGTTTATACAGTTACATAGGCCCCAGCTGTCCATGTGAAATTAAGAAACGTGAACAAAACCTGAACAGTGAAATCCAAGAAACTGCAAATCGCTCAACCCTTCAGGCCTCACTTCATTATTTGTAAATTGTCAAATATATTTTAAAAAGGTACACTGTGTGATACATGTACAAGCTTCCTTTAAAGCCAATCAAAACTGGACCAAACATTAAAGGTGCATTGTGTAACTTTTCTGGTAGAGGGTCCGTCAAATGCTTTTCTTCATGCTTCATGTTATTGCTTTGACTGGAAAGTTTCACAGTATGGCATTAAACCTTTCTATCTTCATGGAGAGCAAACCACACTAAGTTACAGGTCAGATCTGCAGAGGCCACTCCACTCACTTTCAGAATGTCTGTTTCTCTAGGTATTTTGGAGCTATAAAACCACCTGTAATTGAATAATAGTAAGATAGAGCTGTTTAATATCATTTTGTGGAACATTCAAGGCAGAGCAGGGACATATCCACTGAAACAAGAAGGTGACGGATCCCGAACCAAAAACTTAAAATACCTTTAAATTAAAATAGAAAAAAGGACACTACACAGATCACATTCATGAACAAAAAAGCAGAGATTTGACACGACATCACAAGGTGCAACAGACCATTTTGAACTCTGGAGATGTAGACAGATTAATAATAACGGATTACTCAGTCATGTGTGAATGAAACAAAACACAACTCCAGGTATATTTTTGATGATGTAACAATGTTTGAACATGGCTTAAAGCTTGCGTGAGTCAATTTTATGTAATTTAGGACATTTAAGGATTATAGTTGTGATAAATTGCGCCAATAATTAAAATACTATAAACCAGGGCTCCAACCTGTAGCTCGGGAGCTACCAGTAGCTCTCCACCCCCCTTCAAGTAGCTCACCAAGCGATTTACGAATTATATGTATTGTGCTGAATAATAATTATTTAATTAAATGTATGATTTTGATGCCTAAATTTGTGCACTCATTACTGGATAATGGGTTATGTTTTATAGGCATCTAAATGCACCTCATCTTCATCTTGCCATGGCACTTATATTTACTAAATTTCTAGCGACTGCAAAAATTAGTAGCTCTCTGGCATTTTCATTTTACAAAAAAGTTGCTCACAGGATGAAGCTATATACTATTAGTCATGTGTATGTATTGTGCTACCTAAAAACCAATCACCCCTAGGACCAAACATTAAAGGTACACTGTGTAACTTTTCTGGTGGAGGGTCTGTCATGTGCTTGTTTCTATGGATATGTCATTGTTCTGCCTTGAGTTCCACATGACATTATGACAGTCTGACATTAAACAGCTCTACTTCACATTGATTCAATTACAAGTGGATTCATAGCGCAAAAACACCTAAAAAAAAAAACAGGCATTCTGACTGTAAGTGGGGTCCCCTCTCCACAGATCTGACCTGTAACTTGGTCTGATTTGATCTCCATGAAGATAGAAAGGTTTAACACCATACTGTGAAAAATTCCAGACAACGAAACGATTGAGGTTAACATCTCAATGGAGAAAAATATTTGACAAACCTTCCACCAGAAAAGTTACACAATCCACCTTTAAAACAGAACAAAAGGACAGTACACAGATCACAATTACATGAAAAAAGCAGAGATTTGATTGTTTCTCACCAATGACTCCACAGGACTGGCCCTTGTACTGGTGGCGGAGGGAGGAGCGCTTGTAAACCACATGGGGGCGCCCTTCTGTCCTCTCTCCTCTGTCCGTCTGTGTGTCATTGTTCGGCGACACTAGAGGCTCAATCAGGTACTCCTCTCCCCCAGCTACGATCACCCCCTGCTGTTAACACACAAACACACCAGTGGGGTCAATGCAGCTCATACTATTTCTGAACATTTATTTTACAAAATACTCTGAAGAAGTAGCATAGTATTGATATAATGTTTGGTTACTGGACAGTTAGGGATGGAATTTCAATATCAGTATTGATTGATATCAGAAAAACTGACAATATTTGGCAATGAATATATTGAAAAGTTAATTTATGAGATTCACAGCAACTAAAGATACATTTGTGGGCCTTACTTTGGATTTTAAAACCTAAATATCTTGGTATCAGCAAATATTGGTTATTGACCACAGTGGCAAGCCCAATATTGGATATGAGAATTGGTTCAAAAAAAAAAAAAAAAAAAAAAATATATATATATATATATATATATATATATATATATATATATATATATATATATATATATATATAAATAAAATAAAATAAAAATAAAATAAAATCAATCAATCAATCAATATCGGACCATCTCTACCCTATTGGATAGCTTGCCTGATCAGCCAGAACCTCCTACATCCTGCCATGTTGTTCAAATATGAAAGTGGGCATGGTCTTGTGTGCTGGCAACTAGATAACTCATGTTTATGCAGGAGGATAGAACTAAGAATTGTACTTAGACCAGTTGAAGACTGGACCAGAGGCGGCATTAGGCAACAGTAGGTGGCCGTCTAGGGCCCCCGAACCTGGAGGGGCCCTCAATCAATTGACATATGACATTAAATGAGTAGTTTACTACTAAACAAAAAAAACAAAAAAAACAAAAAAAAAAACACCATCAGAATACTATCTGATTATCTGAAATATCTGATTGTCAAATCTAGTTTAACTGTCAAAGCAGTCCCCCCTTTTACATTAGAATGGACTAGTCAGTTTGACCCTGATTTCAGCATAATCATAATCATAATATAATGGATGTAAACAAAAATGTAACTACACTAGCAAAAAAATAAAACTGCTTTGAGCTCTGGTTATCTAGTAGGCTACCTAACTAATAAGACAAGTTTCAAATCCACCATAATTCAAATAGACATGTGTGTGTCTCAAGAACAATTGGGGAAAAACAGACAATAAATATTTTTAAAAATACAAAATAATACAAAAAAAATTAAAAATTGGCAAGAACCCCAAACTCAAGCTTGCCTAGGGCCCCCGTACTGTTAGTTCTGCCACTGGATTGGACTTCCATTACAAACATTATTAGAAGTTATATTTCATAGATATATAAACTGTTAAAGAAGCAGTTTGTAATGTTTAAGGAGGGAGGTACACCACCTGATTATATCCCTGGAGAATGTACCACAGTATAGCATTAAACTTATCTAACTCCATCAGCCCAAGCAAGTGACTCTACTAGGGAAAGTTACAGGTCAGATCACTCATAGAAAGAATGCATGTTAAATAAAGTATCTCTCGCTCTCTCTCTCTAAAGGCTTTACTGTGGAACATTCTAGGCAACAAAGTGATAATATTGACTTGGAGACAGGTGGTGGAGTTACATAGTGCGTCTTTAAACACATAAACGAAAGCCTCTCTCTGATGCTCCCAGGCTTCAGTGCGGCACACTTCAAAGTCTGTGTAATCCCGTAATGAAGTTAGTGCAGCCCTCGTGGCCACATTAACAGTAATTACATGTGGGGCTTATTAACGCTTAGTGAACAGAGTTGTTATTGTAGGGCCTGCTGTTTGTAGTGAGGCACACACAGACACAGGCAGAGAAAACCATTGTCCGGCTCTATTAGACCTATCCACTCAAGTGATTCTCAGCTTTGATCCTCTGCTGCCCGGGCTGCGGTGATGTAATGTGAACGGGTTGTAATGAGCCGCTTTGCTAATAGGCACAACAACAGTGCGTGCTTTGGGAGATCATGTCACGTTCAAGTGCCTCTTCAATGGACCGAAAACTTTAATACTGCAAAACACATGAGTACCTCCAGACACCGCTTGCAAAATGTGTAATTGTACATAGATGAGCAATAGACTGGTAGATGATGATTGCGTTCATATGGTAAAAAGGGTGATTTGGGGTAATTTTGAAGTAATTGTTGCAATGTTGGACATCAATTGTTCCAGTAAATGATTTTTAAAATTTTTTATTTTTACTTTGGGCTGGTAAACATTTTGCATTCTTTTATAATGGCAGATAATAAGATCCATGTTGACGTCAGTGTGGTCAGATGAACAGAAATAAGAAAAACAAAAACAACAAAAAGCATGGAAGTACTAGTAATATGCATGAATGGCTTTACGTTTGTCCCCAAAAAAAAGTATGCGAAAAGGAAGAAAAACGATTTAATCCCACCAGTCTACTTCAAAAGGGCGCTGTGTAACTTTTTTGGTGGAGGGTTTGCCACTTTTTGTCTCCATGTAGATCATATTGCTTTTCCTAGTTATGGTCAGCTAAACTCTTGAGATCTGGCCTCTAAAACATGTGAAAAGCATTTATAAACTAACACTGTTGGGCAAGTGACTTCAAAACTGTAATGTGTTATTTATTACTTTTTACTGTAATTTCAAAGTAATTTGTTACATTACAATATTACTGCATTTAAAATGTAAGACATTACACAACTACTGCAGCACTTTTAAGTTACTCTCACCACAATAACTGTTGATGATTGTCAAATAACAATCAGCGAGCAAAGATGCCAGACTTTTGCGCCTTATATGGACTGAACCAGGACTAAACCAGGACTGAACCAGGACTGAACCAGGACTGAACCAGGACTGAACCAGGACTAAACCAGGACTAAACCAGGACTAAACCAGGACTGAACCAGGACTGAACCAGGACTGAACCAGGACTAAACCAGGACTAAACCAAGACTAAACCAGGACTACACCAGGACTAAACCAGGACTGAACCAAGACTAAACCAGGACTAAATCAGGTCTAAACCTGTACTAAACCAGGAGTAGGATCTTCACAAAGCATGATCGGGCATGAGTTGTGATTAGCGCGGAGCTCTGTGCCGGTCCTTTCACCCGCAGTTACCCAATGGTCTACACGGCCGCACCTCTGTAACAATGCCGTTTCACCACTGCTGATATCATGGTGATTTCAGCAAATTTGTATGAAGAAAAACGAAAAAAAAACACCACTTCAATCCAGGTTAAAAATGCATTGTGATGCGCATTACTCACATTTGTTTTTTTCCCTGTAATGCCACATTACTGTGTTACAACAAAAAGCAATGCATTACAGTAATTTGTGACTTTTATAACACATTACTCCCAACACTGAACTAATTGTGAATAATTAGGATGCTCAGAATGCATAAGGTAAATAACTCTGGACCACTGTACATCGTTTAAATTAAAATTGTTCTGTTTTTCACATTTTGAGTTCAGTAAAAGTCAGGTACAGCTCCTTTAAGGTTTCCTGTATGTTCAGACTATGTTCTCTGCGGCCGTCTGATGTTGATCAAAACAGTGATTCATAAAACTTCAGGAGGTCAAATCAGCACATTTTACACGGATGATCTCTCATCCTCAGGTCTGTTTGAAGAAACATGTGGAGGCCTCCTGATGCAAACTACAGACTCAAAAACCCAAAGAAGAACTAAGACTATACTACAATATGGACCCTTTAAAGTTCCTGTGATATACTAAAATGACCCTTGTGAACTTTAAACCATGTTAGAATGCTGTTACCTCCTCAAAAACATACCTGGAGTTGTGTTTTGTTTCATTTACACATGTTTGAGTAATCATTTATTATTAGTCTGTCTACATCTCCAAAGCTCAAAATACTCTGTTCCAACTTGTGATGTCAGGATGGAGTTTAAAAACACAGTGGAGCACTTTTTGCATTGCCATGTGACATCACAAGGTGGAACAGAGAGTTTTCTGTCTGAGAGAAGACCTCAGCCTAAATATGCAGGTTTGTGTGTTAAACATGTGTGATTGAAACAAAACACAACTCCAGATCTGTTTGTGATGAGGAAACAACATTATAACATAAATCAGAAAATAACGTAATACAGGCCCTTTAAAATGCTTTGTCATCAGAATCGAGGCAAAAGTGAACTATGAACTAAATGACAACAACAATTTAATATGTTTTAAAAACAAGTAATTAGAACCAAATTTTCCATTGTTAGTTTGACGCTCCAATAAAATGACGACAGTGACTGAGATTTCCGCTTGGACCAAGTTAATCATAATAATAATAATCGTAATGTGATTCACAGTCTTGTCAAAGCCTCTCAAAGCACTACACTGGAGTCATTGTTATTCACTTGCTTCACACTCGGTGGTGGTAAATGACTTCTGTAGCCATAGCTGCCCTGGGACAGACTGACGATCAGCCTCTCGGACCATCACCAACACTCACACACACCGTATATGAATGCTGATGTTTCCAATAAAATCACTTTATGTTTGACTTCACTTTTGCCTCCACACTGCCAAAAGTAACATCAAGGTAAGTTAAAATGACTTGAATTAAAAACATTTGACGTTATTTGAGTAGACTGAACTTGACAAAATTATCTAACAATGCAATAAGTGTGTTTCTCTTAATTCAAGCAACATCAGATTTAATTTCTTATTTTAAGTGCAAAGAGTTGTTTTTCTGATTTGCTGAAGTGTGGCAAGATGTATTTTTATATTTTAAATCCAAAAAGTCTTGTTCTAATATTAGATCATTTTACTTGCCAAGAGACATTTACTCCAATCGTAATAAAAATTTCTTAAAGATGCATTGTGTAACTTTTTGCTTGGAGGTCTGTTACCTACTTGTATCTATGGATATGCCATTTGTCTGGCTGGAATGTCCCACAGTATGACATTAAACAGCTCTACATTAAATTTATTTATTACCTCCGCCAAGAAGGTTATGTTTTTGCCGGCGTTTGTTTGTTTGTTTGCTTGTTTGTTTGTTTGTTTTGTTTGTTTGTTTGTTTGTCTGTTAGCAACATAACTCAAAAAGTTATGGACCGATTTTGATGAAATTTTCAGGATTTGTTGGAAATGTGAAAAGGAAGAACTGATTTCATTTTGGGGGTGATCCGGAAGAAATCCTGGATTCTGGATCACTTTGAAATTTTAGTTAACATTGTGGTAAATGGGGCCAAAAATTTTGTTTCTCAATATCTCGGTTAATTATTGACCAAACCCCATGAAATTTGACTCAGGGATGGACAATCGGATCCTCTTTCATATTCCAAATTGAAAGATACGAGACAAATATTTATGGAAAACACAATTAATATGAGGGGGACTGTAGTCCTTGGCGGAGGTCTGCGCTCTCTGAGTGCTTTTCTAGTTATTTATTGTTTTATAGCACAAAAATACTTAGAAAACAGACAATCTGACTGTGACAGGGGTTGTCTCTCTACAGATCTGACCTGTAACTTGGTCTGGTTTGTTGTCCATGGAGAAAAGCATTTGACAGACCCTCGACCAGAAAAGTTACACCTTTAATTCAAGTAATGTTAACTTGGCAAGATTTAAGGTTTTGCCTCCAGTTAAACCTTTTTGTCACTTTTTTGTTAAGTAACTTTTAATGGATCTACGCTGAAAGACATTAAATAAAGGTGAACTATTATTGTCCACCAAATTCTATGTAAAGAGCTGTCTTCATCACATGTAATTCTTTCCTGAAAACTCTTAATTACCTCCTGGAATCTGCTGCTAATGCTAAAAACAGGTGCTGTACTTCTACCACACAGTGAAACATTACACTTAAGATAACATTACATTTTCTATACTCTGAAAGTGCCACAACATCGTCTAGACTTCACTATACGGGGGCCGGGAGTCGTATTCCTTCATTCAAAAAACACCCTCCCAGCAGAGTCCAGGTGTGAGCAGGTGTGGAAAATAAGGGCTATTGAAACTAATGCACATTCTTCAGTGTCTGCTCTGGTCACACACAATCACCAAACAACTGTGTTTTGAATGCCAGTGTTATGGGGGGGGGGCCTTGTAGGTTAAGTGGTTTTAAAACGACAAGAGTAATAGTTAGTTATAGTGCAACTGGAATGTGTCTTTTAAGTTTTGTAATGTAAAAGAGTTGACTAGTGAGAAGAATTATTTTTGTTCTGAGCATTAGAAAAAAATAACAGGAAAGATATGACCAACAAGTGGTTTACAATTTTAAAGAGCTACAGATTATGACGACTGAGTGTGGCTACGTCCCCACGACAACGCTCCTGGATTTTTTTTTGCGGGTTTAAAAAAATTTGCATCCACACATGTCAGATCAATAAATATTCACATCCAGACGACAACGGAAAGAGAAAACGATGTAATACATATGCCACACCTGTATGTAGCGCTGTTAACAATGATAATAAAATTTAATCATGCGTACCTCATCACAGTTTTTTTAAACTAATGTAAATAACTAATGTAATTTAGCCTATTTTTGATGTATCCCAGAAATACAGTCATTTTGTTTTGCAAAAGTTAAACATACATTTTGGTTTTTAGCCATAAGATTTGGATGAGAATTCCAACAGTTTAGTGACCCATGCGTAATCTTTGTTATTGATCCGTGTGTATTGTTAGCCTTAGCGTTTGCAGCGGATATCGTTTGCTGGGTGACAGGAGCAGATCCGTAGACTACACCTGTCACATTTCGGCAACGGCCTTGCGGCCCGCAGAGGCTAGTTCGAGGGCTGCGGCGGGGTCGCAACGTTACTGTTTTCCAAAAGCAGCGGTTTGCTTGTCCACACGAGAACGCAATGCCGGCGTTCTCAGATTTCTCCACTCTGGAACCCATCCTCAAAAAATACAGTTTTCATCCACCCAAAATGCTGGCTCCGTGTGGACGAAAGGCGAAAATGAATAAAAACTTCAACGTTTCGACCAAAAAATGTTGTTGTAAGGACACCACCTAAGTCTATGGGGGAATGTTCAGCAGTTACCTAGGTGACACAATGCACACATTCAGGCCCGTCGACAGAAATTTGGGGGCCCGGGGCAAAGAGCCGCACATGGGCCCACCTCTAATATAAATTAATAAGAAGGGTGTCCAATTCTGAGACCCTAAAGCCCTGGGGCTTCGGACAACATACCCCTTTGTCCCCTCCTGTCAAATGCCCTGCACACATTAGCAAACATATAAATAAAATTTTAAAAATGAATAAACACTGTAGCCTGTAATTAGTATGTGTCGTTCATGGTTCCAGATCAAAGTCTAACTTGAGTAACAGAGCTTCAGACAAAGCAGTGCCTGTAGTTAGCTCCAAATGATGACATAATAGTGGATAAAATAAACTAAAAATTAGGCAAAACCACACACTGAAGAGTTGTCTGAGTACCACAGTTAGAGGAACACTGCTTTAATGGTCACTGTCCCATTCCTAATTGTATTTATATTACTGACCTTTAAAAAGAATGACAAATCCTCCAGAGACACTTACCAGGCCGTTGCAGTTGCTCAGAGCCACTTTACTGGAGTGTGGCCGGTCCTGGAGGTGTCCCACATAGTGACAGTAGGGGGCGTATGGGTGACTCCAGGCCAGGCGTCCCCTCTTCCAGTACTCCACCCTGAACTGGCGAGAGAGCAGCCCCCCCTGCAGCGTCAGGTTTAACAGGAAGTTGTTGTTGGATGTGGAGAGCTGGTAGAAGAGCTGCAGAGAAGAAGAAACAGTTTGTGAACATTTTGTGCTGATAAAGGGCCTATCTTATCTTATCTTTTTTCTATTTTGTTCTTCTCTCAAACAGAAAACACTCCACTTTGTGATATTTCACCTTATGATGTTATGTGGTAAGAAAGGAAGTGCTCCACTGTGTTTTTAAATGCCATACACCACTAGAATCATTTGGATGTTTTCAGCCCCGGAATTGCCAGTCTCTACAGAACTAAAGGTAAAATGTCACTGTTAACTTGAAAAAAACGCGCATGATGACATTTAGGGGTGTAACGATATCCAAGTCTCAAGATACGATATTGTCACAGTATGATATTTATTGCAATATTGTGGGAAAGCTCACAATATGGTGGAGAGGGTCATGATTAGGAATGTAACAATATCCAAATCTCTCGCTATGATATTTTCACGATATACATCTCACGGTATGATATTTATTGTGATATTTTGTGGAGGCAACAAAACTGTGAATATGCTACTTTTTCCTCTTAAAATGCCTTGACAAGACTTAATCTAAAGAACTAAGACTTAAAAGTGCTTAGAACTGTTATTGCTTTATGTAGTCTACACTGAAATGGAGCTGAATGTAGTTCCTGCTGTCTCTTTTTAGCTATTGCTGCACCAAAACTCTTAATTTAAGAAAAGAGACTTGTAATTCGATATATTGTGGTGGTCCACGATATTATTGTGAGAACTTTGACGATATAATATATCACAATATTTCAGTTACTGTTACATCCCTAATGACATCACAAGATGGGACAGAGCATTTTGAGCTTTGGAGATGTAAACTGTAGCTAATAATAAATGGTTACTCAAACATGTGTGAATGAAACAAAACACAGCTCCAGGTGTGTTTCTGGCTTAAACTTGCCTTAAAGCTCACAGGAGTAATTTTGCATACTATTGGACCTTTAAAGGTGCACTATGAAAGTTTTCAAGTGAAGGGTCTGCCAACTGTTTATTTCTCCATGGAGATCTTATTGCTTTGCCTGAAATGCTCCACAGTATGGCATTAAACTTATGTATATCCAGTGGTGGGCCGTCAGGGCCAGCAAGGCCTTCTCTGCTGGCCTAAACATGCTCAAGAAAAGTAAATTTATGTTATTTTATTTTCATAAATATGTAAACAAAATGATTCTCTATTCTCTGTATTCTTTACGTCATATTATTTCCACTTAGTCGAGTGGCTTCCAATAGTGTTTTTTATGGTAGAGTTTTTTAACCAATTATATTTCAGCTAGCTTGTGTTGTCAAGTAAATTAAATTTGCTTGAGACCTTCAGAATAAACAGAGCAGGCCCCTGTGCACTGTAAGTGAACGGGCACAGTCAGGTTGCAATAGCCAATCAGATCTCGATTCTGCGTACCAAGGCTAGCTAGAAGGTCTTACGCTGAACTCGACCCGTGCGCGTTCGGTGATTGGATTAGCACTTGCTAGGGCCTGACAAGCGGCAATCTGGAGAATTGAAATAAACACGGAAATTCAAGAGCCAGCTGTATTTTTAACCCATAATGGCCGAAGGAGAAGACATTGATCTGGTTGCAGATCTACTTTCCACGCCATTTTCAAGACGGCCCTTTCAGGAAAAGTTGGATATCGTAAGAAGAGGTCGCTTAACCCCTGCGCTAGCTAGCCTATCCCAGCAAGGAAAAGGGTTTGTCCGACATTTGTCATTTTCAACGTTAAAGCGTATTAAAACTTATGCCAGAAACACGACCGGACAGAAACGGCTTTCAGCATTAGCCTCCATGTCCATAGAAAAGGACTTACTGATGGACCTAAAACGCGCCGATAAACTGTACAACAGAGCCACTGAAGTGTTCTTGAGAAAAGAAAGGAGGCTCGACTTTATTTTCAAATAAGCAGACGCTGTTGAGAACTATGTTGGTGAGTAAATGCATTTTATTTTCAATTTTCTTCTTGTCATTGCAATATTTTCAGTTATTTGCTGTTGTATAGCCTATTCTCAAAAATGCAAACGATCTCTTAACTTTATTTTCAAAGAATAGTTTGTTTTGTTATTGTCTGGTTGGTGTCTTATATGAAACGGCGACATTGCGCAATTTATTAGACAGACTTGTTTAAGATCACACAGCGTAATTTTGGTGGCATTTTGTTTAGTATTTTTAAATCACCTTTTTATTTTTGACAATATCTGTGAACTTAGTTTCCTAATCTTAATTGTGAATGCATACTTGATGGTTTTAAATGCTCCTGAAATAAAGTGCTGCTTGACTAGCCTATATTGAGGTGAAGTTAATGTATGGGGCGTCACTGAAGGCCTAAGGTTGAAATGCACGGCCCGCCACTGTGTATATCCATGCAGATGAGGAGGTGACACCACAAGGCAAAGTTACAGGTCTGATCTATGGAGAGGTGACCCAGATCACAGTATGAATTAATGTTTTTCAAGCTCTAATTGAATAAATGCAAGAAACATGTCTAATGCCATATTGCGGAACATTCCAGGCAAACAATAACATATCCATGGAGCAATAAACAGTTGGTGGACCCCACAATCAAGTGCATAAGACAGCTTAAACAGTAAATTTCACTAAAACAGTTAACCTGAATATATTTAAGGTTTTATCTCTATTCTTGTCAAATTCTTTTTTTTATTTTGGTAAAGTTTACAACTTCATTTCCAACAGTGGCATTACATAATAGTAATAAGAGGTAATTCTGTAACTGTTACCTAGCAACCATAATGTTAACGAAGGCCAGCACTTGTCTAAATTACACAATATTATGTTATGTTATGATTAGTCTAAGAAAAATAAATGACAGCGCCTTTATTTTGTTAAATTAAGGTTTAAACAGCCAGAAATATGCCTTCCTTGTGTGTAAATCATCTCCTGTATTTTGGATATTTTCTGTTGACGACATAGGTGGAGCTTCCTGTATTTGTATAGTTTTTATCTCAGCTCCCACTTAACTGATGTAAAACTATGATAAACCAAGTAATAATTAGAGAAACATAAGAACCTGTCATATTGACTTCCATTGTTTACATGTTAAGTTTGAAAGGAGGAGTAAAGGTTATAGTTATTAGAGATTATAGAGTTATACAGAGTCAGGCAGCTTGTCGTCAGCGCTGCGTCTTCTTCTTCTGTGCTGTTGGTGAGATGTGTCCAGTGCGCCCCCTTCAGGATCCACACGCACTGGGACGGCGATCTCATAGTGACCCAGACTGGACAGGAACGCAGCTACAGAGAGAGGAACAAAACACAAAACACAAATGGAATTATTTACAGGCCCGTCACCAGATATTTGGGGGCACAGGGCAAAAAGAGTCACATGGGCCCCCCTCTAATATACATTTATAAGAAGACTAATTCTGGGCCCCTAAGACCCTGGGGCAACTTTGTCTTCCCCTATCAACTCCCCTGATTATTTATATTATATTATCGGACAATAAAACCAAGAAAATATCTAGCCTCAGTTAAAATTACTTGAATTCAGAGTATTAAAGGCTCTGTATTACTGTCTTAAACTCACACACACACACAAAAAAAAAACAGGTTTATTTTAGATTGTTTGCAGTGCCCCTAGCGTCTGCATACACTGGTGCGTTAATGTGTGTGTGAATGGGTGAGTGGTTCCTTGTTGTGAAGCGCTTTGAGTGCCTTGAAAAGTGGAAAAGTGCATATAAAAATTAGGGCCTGACCAATATGGATTTTTTTGCGGCCAAAATAATACTGGTAAAAGGGAGTTGGAGGTGCTGATAGCCGATAAAAAAAACGCCACAGTGATTTAGTGACGTAAAAATTCACTGTAAATGTTCAATTAATTATAAAACTTAGGTATGGCTCTACTGGATTTTAAATTGGGTTTGTTTAGGCTACATTTACTGTTATTCTGCCTCTTTACAGTCATATTTAAAGACAGTAGGTTGGTCTAATTTCTGGCCAGTAAAGAAAGCAAAAACTACCACTATCAGGCTTTAGCAATGATCATAAATCCGTATGCGCTGCGGTAATTAATTATATGTGTAAATGCTGATCATTCACACTTCTATTCACAACTCATTTCCTTATCTATGTAGGTCCAGTAAGAAGTGTATGGCCACTATAGTCACTAGTCACACTACGCAAATGTAAGAAAACAGGCTGTTTATGTGTGGTAGCTCACAGCAGCTAATCACTAACCAATGAAAAAAAAACGAAAAACAAGTTCAAAACCGACAAATTTGCAGCACTCACTGCTCACACAGGCACCTCTCAGATCACAAGTCTTCACAAATAAGTTTGATAAAAACAAGCAGCAGTTTGGTCGCTGTCTTAAACTACACTGAAGTTCACTTTTATTTACAGTCAGTCAGTATCGTGGATCAGACATGAGAGCGTTTAAAGCAGCGCCTCATTGTTGCACACATGGATCTATGGCTAACAAGCACATGAGTGACGTGACTCTGAGGGTGCGTTCAGGGGCAGTACGGCGTCACAGACACAGAAAAATTGCTCTGCAGATAAATACTGATGGATGCACCACATATTAGGACATTTATCTGTCTGTGAATTAGATTAAATGGACATAATATAGAGAGTCTAAGCTTTATAAGGAGGTATAACATGCCAATGTGGACTATAGGCCCAGAGCAGCAAGATGTAGGCAGCTGTGACTAGAACAGTTTGGACTGAATGAATAATGCACAAAATTGTAAAGCGCCTTTTTAGATTTTGGCAATGCGTTATATAAGACTAATGCATTTATTTTAAACATTCATTCTTTGCAGTGACAGTAGTTTCATTATATTACATAAGTTGTAGTAATAGCGTTTGCCAATAGAAGCTGGTGTAGCCTTTATTACATAACCGTGTCGGAAAAAATGTAGAAATTCTGTCCGTTTGCTGACGAGACATTTTTCCTCGAAGACTGACCTGTGAGGCCAGCAGGGCGTCTCCATGGAAACAGTGAAACAGTATACTTCCTGTCTGAGTCCGTTCACACTGTGGTCTATACACTAAAACTCAGCAGAGATTTACAGTCCAAACACACACACGCACAAAAAGCAGGGTCAAAGATCAGCTCCTTGGCACTGTCTCCACACAACCTCTGACCTTTAGCCCGAGCCATGTGTCACACTTAACCAGAGAAGGGGGCGTTTCCGTGCACTGCACTCAAAGTATGCAACGACTCATGTTTTAATGTAATTTTGTCTTTTGGAGAAATTTTATCTTTATATTGTGACCTGAAAAATTACAATTATTGATTAACCAAAAACCATTACTTCTTCAATTACAGACCTGTATTATAATTATTTTTCCCCTCATATTGGTCAGCTCCATTTTCATTTCGATTTTAATAAATAATAAAAATAGCTTTCACTGATTTCATTAACCTAAACAGGACAGACTTTTAATCAATGCCATTTAACACAAAAAATAGTCCAATTTCTTCTTTCAAATCTGAACTCTGCTCACAAACTTCATCTTTCCCCAACAGAGTTGGCTGTAGACCTCTTGTTAAAAGGTGCATTGCGCAACTTTTCTGGTGGAGGGTCCATCACCTTAGCCTGATTCACGTCTGATCTCGCAGCATTAGGATTAATTTGCTCAACAGTAAGGGAGTACTTTTTATTTAACCAATCGCTGTTATTTGGTTGTGATGTATGTAATGCGCCAAATCCCGTAGGAAGAAGAGCAATAACGTCTTTCCCCTTGATAAAATTCACCAAACATTCTCTTTGTTCCGGCTTTAAATCCTCAATCTTGGGAATCGTTGGCAACACAGAATGTATGTCTTCGTCTACATCCATCTCGACCGCTTTGTTTACTGTTGTGCTGTACCACAAAAGGGACCCCGCTTGAGTTTGACATCATGGCTTCACAGCTCTTCCCGGATTGGCCGGTGCGCGGTCTACAACTTCCGGAGTTCTTGCAAATCGTCTTGTGTACTCCGATTCCTGACCTAGTCACTAGAGAGAAATGAAATTGAGCAGAGGCACTAGGTGGCACCAGCCTGGCTACCATCACCTACTTGTTACCATAGAAATGTTGTCGCTTTGCCTGGAATGTTCTGTGGTATGACATTAAACACACATCCATCTAGCTTTTATTCATTACATCAATACAATAATTCTCTCTGAATAGGGCTGCATCTCCACAGATCTGACCTGCAATGTAGCCTATAGTTGTCTCCCTCGAGAAAGGTTTAACGGACCCTCCATCAGAAAAGTTGCACAATGCACCTTTAAAAAAACTCAGAGATCTCATTGACAATTTGACATGACAGGACCTCGATCTGAATTCAAATATGATTAGCCCTAATTTGACTCGATCTCAATTAAAATTTCATTAATTGCACAGCCAAAACATACACCACAGTCCAATTATGTCATAGCTCTTCAAAAACTCAAACTCATTATGTAATCTCCACACATGTCCAGTAAGGATATTAAAAAATCTAACGGCTCATAAAATTTCACTGTAAGTTAAACTGTGAACACAACAGGCAGCACGGACTAACTGAAAAAATGAAATGTAATGAACTTTAAAGACTTGAGTCACTGCCAAGTCCTTCCAGGCAATACAGCTGTTTATAGGAGCTACTGTGGAGTTTTACATTCATAAGTTCACAGATTTTGGAGTAACTTTGACTGTGATGTCCATTTCTAAAGGGCCCATATTAGGCTATTTTCTGATCTTACGTTATTTCTTTGCCTAGAATGTCCCACAGTATGAAATCAAAGAATGTTGCTTTCTCATCAAAAATATATCTGATGTTATGTTTTGTTTCATTCAGACATGTTTAACACACAAACTCTGCATATTTAGGCACGGTGTATTCTTTGTGATGTCATGTGGTGATACAGAAAGAAATCCACTAGAAACATTAAAAACACTAGCAAAAAAATGAAAAACTACAAAATGGATCAATACGTTCATGGTCCTGTTTAGGTGTTCGATTTTCCACAAAAAAGTGAAAGTGGTGAAAAACTGTTGGCCAATGTTAGCTCACTTGTGACTGTAATTTTATATGTGAGACGCTTGTTTAAGAGCACAAACCATCTCAGCGGTTATAATTCCCATCCTGAGCTTTATGTGTTAAAATAAAACTCAGAATACGTCTAACTTGAGTAGGGTGACTAGGTTTAAAAAACAAAAAACTGGGGCACTCCCTGTTTGGAGTGGTTGGTAATAATAAAATTGTGAAAAGAGTGCATAATTAAGGAAAATTGTTCTGCACTCGGCCCATGTGAGTCAACGTAGTCACATTTTCTTTGTGTTTTGGTCATTTCTAAGCAGCTTTTCTGTATTTTACTTAAACAAATGACAATGTATCCCTCTTTTTACTGTTGGCAGGTATCAGATTTGTCAAAATAGGGACACCTGGGACATTTCTTATATAAAACAAGGACAAATCAGTGGTTTTGGATTAATCTGCTGGGACAGGGGACATAGGGCTCAAAACTGGGTCTGTCCCAGGTAAATAGGGACATCTGGTCAACCCAACAACAGAGGATTTTCTGCTGTTGGGCCTATTCACATAAGACAAGCTGACTGTCTACTAAATCACTTCTTAAAACACACTTATTTTCTTTGGCTTTTAACCAGTTTCGAGGTCTTTCATTGTTCAATAATTGTTGTGTGTATATTTTTTCACTGTATTATACATATGTTTTTATCTCTGTGTACAGCACTTTGGTCAATTTGCTGTTTTTAATTGTGTTTATCACTAAACTGGATTTGGATTAAACTTAAGTAACAGAGCTTCTAACAGAGTAGTGCTGAAACTGTTGACGACATCAGCTGCAAAGTATCAATAGCCAGGCTTGAATGGACAACATTACCACAAAGTATTAAGCACTCAAGTCTCTAGGTCTCATAGTGATTGTAAATTAAAGCCTCCTACCTCTCTTTATACTTTCCAGTTGCTTTATTTATTCGTCTACAACATGAACTTCAGATTAAACGTAATATATGGCCTGTTTCATTCTTTTGTCTTGCAGCCTGCAGTAAAAACACCAGCGCATTTCTTCCCATGTCGTTCACACAGACTTGGTTCCCACCGCAGTTCAGTGGGTCCCAGCTCTTACAAACCACAAAGAGTAAACAGCTGGTGCAGTGTGTTTGATGCACGGGAAACTCCTGCTGAGAATCAAAGAAGAGTGCTAAAAACAAGATAAGGGCGACCTCCACTGAGCTATAATGGGACCTCACACAGAATTAAGGGAAAACTAACTCGAGCCAGACCCCAGTTTAGG